ATAGTTGTCGATGTATCAATTATCGAAGAAACGTGTTTCGAAGTGACATAGAGAACCCTTTTTCGAAATGGTTATTTATTTTGTCAATTATCTTATAAAAAACGCATCCTACGTCAAATATCAGTAATTAATTTATTGTAAATTTAATTGGCTTTCATTTAACACCAAATTGGTACCTGTAGGGCCAGTGGTTTTCTCAAAAACGATAGATAACGAACACCGGTCATAAGTAGATATTAGGAGGTTATTTCAGTCAAGATAACCCCTTTAGCTATCTATCGTTTTTGAGAAAACCATTGGCCCTACAGGTACCAATTTAGAGTTTAATCAAAGTAAATTTTTACAATAAATAAATAATTTATATAATATGTTAACTTAATCCGGTGTAAAAAATGTCCTTGTGACCCTGTTAACTTCAAACAGACGACAGCGAAAGACAGATGTTTTAAACTTGAATTTGTTTAATCACGATTTGAGAATTTGAAGATGATGATCAAAGTTTTAAATGATATTTAAGACGATTTAATTAAAAAAATAACCAACATTCAACATTTAAGTCTGTATTTGGCGATGGCGTGCATTTCATTGAAAACATACATTGAACATAACGTTTGTTTTTTTGCAACCAAAATGAAACAAAGTAATTTCCATGGCTGATACGTAATTTCCATGGTGTTTTATCCATGGAAATTACACCATGGAAATTACCAAAAATCATATATTTTGAAATTACTCTGCAGTGAAAAGATATAACCGGCTAGTTTATTACTGTTTATCTACATTATAGAGCTAGATATTTCACCTTAAAACCCATTTTCTAGAAGAAGTACAATTATATTGAAAAAATGTGACATGGCAAAGCCGGATAACTGAGAACCAAAATTTAAGAAATTGAAGAACTTATTTTAGCAACGAAAGCGCGGGAAACAGCGACGTGGCCACCTCACCTGCTAGCTGCGGCATAAATGACGATTCGCAAACACCAATCGGGGTTCGCCTACGCCTCGCCAGCTCAGAACAGTATCTCGCGCAAGGCGCGCGGCGAAAATTTTGCTAAGCGTGTGACACATATACTTCTGACCATAAAATCAAAAGTTTCCTTCCGATTAATTTGAAATTTGATCAATATGTAAACCGATTTGTCTTTTTTAAATGTGTGTAACAAACTGATTAAAAACGTGGGTAATTTCAAAAATATTTGCGATTGCTCAAAAGTTGGCGCGCGTGTGACACGGTAAAAACGTGCAAAATTGACCGGATTTGTGGTGTTGAGGGTAAATTACTCCGATCTACGTCGTTTTTTATCCGTGAAATCTATATGACACTATGCTTAATGAAATGAAGAAACGATGTAATAGTAGTTTTAATCATAATAATTTATTTTTATAGGAGATATGTCCCTGTGACACTCAAAAAAAATTTTCGTCTTTGATATATTGATCATCATCATTAACTCTTTGACAGTCAAACTGCAGGGCCTCAGACCTTTGTTTAATAATTTTTGGTCACCCATTCCGTGAACAACTCTTGCGAAAATTGCTTAGCAATAACGATCGTGCGCAGCGGCGCATATCCGTAGCGCCAGTGAGCTATGAATAAATATTGTATAAATATTGTATATAAAATGATAATTTGTATGATGACAAATTAAAAAATAAGATTCCAAAATTTACAACAACTCCGAAGTAAGTTGACCTCATTTATATATGGCCAATCATTTTAAATAGGGTTCAGCTTATAATGGACATGTGGTATACGAACACGCGAGTAGGAGAACAAGCCGATAGAGCCTTCTGATGATACATTTAAGCCTCGAGTGTGAACGCATATTTTTATCAGATTAGGTTCACGTCGTCGTCGGGGCCAGCGGAGGTGGTTGGCAGCCGCTCCCGCATTGCACGGTTTCGTTTGTCTGTCTGTCTGATTTACCCGAGCCTCTTCAATTTTCCATCTGCAAGGGGACCAATGGTCCAATACTTGAGTGTCCTAGTGACTCGGCCATAGCTTACCGGGTTTCATTTCCTATGAAAGGGTGTAGCGTACGGATTTTGGTGGGTAGGCCTCTGGGGACCCACCGGGCACCTCACTGTCGGGTTCACGGAGGAGAATCCTACTCACCCCTGTTGCTTGCCAGGTAACAGAGACAATGTCAGAAGTTTTCCACGACGTTAAAAAACTTAGATTCACGTCAACTGAAGTTAAGAACGTAAAGACAACTCGAGTTATATATATATATATTTTTCTCTTATTGCAATTTTTATGTTAATACTTTTTTGATTTTTTTTAACATACAAATTGCTGTAGATACGTACTTCAAAGTTGGTATTTGCAGTCTTCGCTGGAAACAATGCTTTATTCATTGGTCACAACACTCATATAATATTACGCAAGTCTGAGGGTCGGTTCAGAGTAGCTCGGTGGCGTAGTGAATAAGCGCCATGGCCCGCGATTGTAGTTGTTAAGCAACTTTCGCAAAGGTCGGGCACAGGATGGATGACCCAAAAATATTATATCAAGCAACTCCAAGCTTCTGAAAGCACGTAAAGCGATTGGTCCCAGTTGTATTTGCAGTCGTTAATTTCCTCCAATCCACATTGGGCCAGCATGGAGGGCAGTGGCCCATCCTCTTTAAACATCCATAAGGAAGGCCTGAGCTCCTGCAGTTGGTGACGTAAAAGGACTGATGATGATGATGATGATGAGAAGGGCCGTTCAAATCTGAGTTCAGTTAAGCACCTCACGGAAGTATGTTAGAAGATGATTTCCTTCGACCGTGGAAAGCCGAAATTAAAATATGTATATATTTTTTTTATATTAATAAATAAAACTCCACGTATCTTCCGTCAGACATGTACTGACCGACTTTTATAGACAAAGAAAGAGATCAGACAGAAAGCGCTCGGTCTCGGGAGACACCTGAAAAACGCGAAGCGTATTTAACGGCCCATCGCGAGGCTCATGCACTATAAAGTTGAATCTGAAGTATTTACATACATGCAGTATGGTATGAGTATGAAACTTCTTTTGATAGGGAAATGCGGTTGGTCTTTTAAAGACCTCGCAGTTTACACAATAGAGATCGAGAAAATAGTTTCGATTATCGCCAACCCGTGTTGACTTCATACTCCACAGGCGTACTGCAGATAAGTTTTCACAGGGTAAAATGAACTGGCTATTTTCCCACGACTTTGCCGCAAAATTATAGTCTATGACATGCGCGTCTGATGTAGCTTCCCGTAGGTCGGAATCGCTCCGCAACTATCGGTCCAGTAGTATTGGAGCAAATTCGATGCAAACAAACAAACAACCAAATCTCTCCTCTTTATAATATTAGTATAGCTTAGGTATAAGGGGTCCGATAGCGTAGTGGGTTAGCGCATTCAGTTTAAATTGCAGTTAAATAAGTAACTCAATACTGCACAACAAGGACATACATGAAAACTTATTTTACATAAATAAGTACAAACGACAAACTCATCGCTAGCCAGCGATTTCTTCCAACCGACCTAGCATTACATGGAAAATAGAACAATAAATAGCCGATTTTGCAGACAAATAATAATAATTTTAAAATATCAAAAACAAAAGAAGGACCGTTTAAAGGTACGAATAAAATGCTCAGACACAAGCGACAACCAGAGCGCGAGAAACGAGAAAAATATGGAAAAATAACATTCGTAAGGACCGTTTACAGGATGAGTGACCAAAACATTATTATCTTGAGCACTGTGCACAACACTGGCATAATGCACATTAAGCCGTTAGTCCTGGCTGCATTGGCAACGTTAACACCCACCGATCCGCATTAAGCCCGCGTAGTGGGTTATGGCCCATTGATCTTATTCGATTCGTCTGCATTCATTGGAAAAAAAATATTCTACCAAAATACTTCCCACGCAGACGAAGTCGCGGGCACAGCTAGTTATCAATATTTTCAACTATGTGATAGTTTCAGTGATCATTATGTGAAAGAAGTGGAATTGTTAAAATAAAAGCTTTCACATTTACAAGTCTCTTGGGACTAATTACTAATTTATTGCGTAACGTGTAGGTTGGGCAATGACAGTTCATTAAAAAAAAATGGCAAATTCTTTATACTAGTAATAGATTGAAAAGGTATGATAGTTTTAGCGTATGAGTATAAAAATAACGGCTAAGTAAAGGAACTTTTATAAAGACAGATCTGTGGTGCAACCGTCTAACTCTCTACCCATGATTCTAGCCATAGAATACATCTCATCGATATTATGTCAGTATTTTGTTTCATATTACTTCTTTGACATGTCTTTTGGTGGATACATTTGGTATAAATTGCTTATTTGGTAACCTGCTATCGAATCTATAATCATCATTGTTTATCGATCATTCGCCTTGAATAAAGTACACGTTAAGGTAGTAAAATGAAACGATATATCGATGCAACTTCGCTAAGTTGTCGTATCCTATAGCTAGAATCATGGTTAGAGAGTTAAGAGCTCGCACCTCAAATGGATAACCAAAAAGTTTTTATGTTGAGCTACTCCAATCCTCTATAGTTTTTGCTAGCTACCCGCAGTTCTGAACTGAACTCGAGTGATAAATGGCCTTCCTTGATTCTCTATGGGAAAGGTTTAAGAGCGGTGAGAACATAAAAATATCCGAATCAATTACATTGACGTCTCCATTCTAAGTATTTATAGGATGAAGATAATTTGAAAATCTACAGTTATCTATTTTAAAAGCATTTCACCATCAATTTCTTTAAAATTTAAAACTTCATACGTTATCTAATGATGTGTTACGTTATTTCTAAAAACTCGCGTTAAGTCTGCTGGTCTGGCACGAGTACTTTGGAATTAGCAGTTTAAGTCTGGACGTCACAATATTAAGTTCGATCCAGAGAAATTAATAGTTGGTATTACTGTTCCCCGAAAAAACAAAGCCAACACATTACATCGTACCTTGGTCGTGATTTGCGTATATACCTTGGTAATGATACACAGATATCGATATATTGGCAGGATTGACCGCCGCGACGTCGCGGATGGGGACCGAGTCGACCCAGAATTGTTAGATCGCGCGATGCGGCTCATCCAGCTGCAGAACCTAGACCGCATTTACTCCTACCACACCCGACCAAGGTACGATAGTCGATGTTACGAACGTTATCGAACACACCGCACCGAAAAACACTAGCAATCTGTTTGCATGATTCTAGAATTGGAGGTGTTTTATCGTCTCGTATATAAACGAAAGTATACTGAATGTGTTTCTGTTTTAGATCTGTGAGATTTTCTCAAAAAGTCTGTCACGCTCGAGCTGACCTAACACTATAGAATTCGTGCATACTTGGAACAAAACATTTAACATTCGAAGTTATGCATCCGAGTGCTATGTATATTGTGTGTTATCCATCAATGGCCATTTTGGAGTCATTCCTGCAGTGATTTTATAATAAAAAAATTACGCTTCATCGCCGGTGTGTGTTTGAAAACATTCATTTGGGGAGCAAAGAGGAAGAGGTTTAGGTGAACTACAGATCGCAGACCGCTCTGTTATACTGGAGATCAAATAGGTAAAGATCTATCACCAATCCGCTGCCGTTGCCACAGTTTATTGGTCTAGAAAGAATGTGTTTTTTGTCTTTTTGGCCATCTGTCAAAATTTCCTGTCTATCTGTCTCGGATATTGTGTATATGTAACTGAAGTGAGACTGCTATCAAGTTTTTCACTTTTGAATAGCAGTTAGAATCAAGAATAATCATTGCATTAAACAACTTTTTGACACAAATTCCAATTCTTTTAATTTTTAAGACCTGCCATATTATTAATTTTAATAATTTCTATGCATATTTGGAACTACTCATTATTTTTTATGTCATATCTCGGTAGATGTTCTTAGCTAAATAAATGTATCGTATTACATAGGTAATTGAAATTCGTTCAGCGAATTAACATTACACAAAAAAAATTACATATAAAAACTATATTGTTTGTTCCTTTTTAGTTTGAGAGATTTGATTGTTTATAATTTTTTTTAAATTTTTTCACCTACGGAAAGCTATGATATGCGGTGAACATAGCCTATTTTATTTTAGCCCGAAAATCACCAAATAAAAGGATGAAAATGTTAATGGATGTTTGTATAGGGAATTAAAACGTTACCATAGTAACTATTGTTTACTATTTAGTTTGTCATTGTTATTACCATAATATGAATCAATATCCAAATAAACAGTTCGCTAGGCACCACGCGGGCAAAGCCGCTGGCGGAAAGCTAGTCAAACATAAAAACAGAGGGAATACTGTTTTTTTTATTTATTTATTTAATCTTTATTGCTGCAAACGGCGGACTTAATGCCATAGGCATTCTCTACCAGTCAACCGGAGAGGATAAGCAGAAAATTTGTAAGGCATTGACAGTGATAGAGAATTCTGAATATAATTAACAATCATACACATATTTGGACACATATACATACATACCCTACATACAAACACACAAATACATATATACATAAATAAATATATACATATACAGTAAAATAAACATCGACATGTCCGATTGGAAAGTCAGGAAAAGTTGTTACCTTCTAGATAGTGTTCACGCGCTTTTCTCTTGAAAACTAATCTATTCGGAGCATTTCGTACGTCCAGAGGTAGTGCATTCCACAGCCGTATAGCAGTAAGAGAAAATGATTTGTAAACAAATATAGAATGATGAGAAGGAGTCTGGAGTACCAGATTAGAACTGGAGCGAAGTAGTTTTTGATGAGAGGCACTGAAACCTAGATTTCAGATATTCAGGCGCACGTGGATCGTATAGAATTGCAAAGAGAGTGTTTACGATTCTTAATCTTTCCTACGTTCGCGTATTGGCAACCATTTAAGGTGGTTACGAAAATCAGAGTTGTGGTCGTATTTAACAATGATATAGATTAACAATGATATACATTGATATTATACTACAAACCATAGAATTCTCATGTTTCATGTAATCTTGAAATTATAATAAATATTTATATTTAAGATTCTCACAAAATGCTCTTTTGTTTTACGTTTCAATATCATTTATTTATTTTGCACATGAACTATGTTAAAGTACTAAATTTTTTCGTAACTTGATCGGTCCATTAGTTTCAGAGAAAAAGTGTTGTGATGGACGGACAGCCGAGTGAAGGGTTCCTTTTATTACTTTTGAGGTGTTGAACTTTAAAATGAGAAATGACCTCTCTAACTAAATAGATAAGGCATATTAGTATGTGTATGTTTATATGTATATTTATTTATATATGTGTGTTTAAATTTGTTATATATATGTAATTATGTGTAAGTTTGTTTATATTTTTGGTATATTGTGGTATGTTTATCATTAGTTTAGTATTTGTTGTTGCAATTCTATTAAAAAATTTTATTGTTCTGTACCGTCATCGTGTTTGTCTATTTTCCCAAGGGTTGACTGGGAGAAAATGCTATTAGCATTAAGTCCGCTTGTGTACCATCTTTATATAGGTCAATAAAGTTCAATAAATAAATTAGTATAATTAATCATTTTATAAAACAGTGGAATTTCTACGTTTGATTAAATCGAAGTTCAGAATCAGATTAAGTTTCTGTGGTTACTTTATGTATGGTATGTTAAAATAAAAATAATGAATTTATATTTTTTTTTTGCTAACAGGTTCGGCAAACGCTCAGAGGCGTTCACCAACTGGGCCAAGGACACGGAAGTAAGTGAATGTTTTGTTTCCAACTTTATATTAGGAATATAACCACTTATCCTTAGGCGCATATGCGCCTCACAAAAATTTCAACATTGTGTATGCTGATACAGGAATAATGTACAGTTGTCGGTTCATCAAAATCACCAGCGTCTTAATGTCGCCACCCCTGCGCCTTAGAAGTGCGACCGGTTAACTCTCTAGCCGTGATTCTAGCCATAAGATATGACATTCTATAAATATTATGCCTGTATATCGTCTTCATATTACTTCTTTGACGCGTCTTTGGGATCAACAACTGCACGTGCAGCCGCGACCAACTGATTTACGTGCATTCCAAAGCACGGAGAAGCTTGAGAGAGTAATATTTGATCACCCATCCTATAGCAGGCATTTGTGAAAATTGATTGGCAACAGTATTGTAGACCAAACGCAGTAACTACAGCGCCATCGAATTTGGGATTATTTAATTTTCTTTGATTCCATGCAAGTCCAGGAATTCCAGGAAAGTCAAAATAATCATCTTCAAAAACTTGGAAGAATTATTAAAGAGACTTATATCAAAATTTTTGTTGAAACACTACGTTTATCCTAATAGAAATTACTAGCTGATCCTGAGAAATAGAAAGACAAGTTTTAAATACTTTATGATAAAATAATGAATACTACACACACTACTCATCCAGTTGTCTCAAAAACTATTTTGAGCGTAGTATTTCATACTGCTCTTATTACTTATTCAATAAGGGCAGCATAAGGAGTGTGTCGATTTACGATTATTTTTTAATATTGTTATCGCCGCCAACTCCTGTGCTACACATTTAAAACTTAAAATTGTAAGGCATAAATATCAGATTATAATTTACTTAACTTTACAAACAAACCTTATTACTTCACGTTTTCACGCATCTGTTGCTGTTGGTGGAATTTTGTCGAAATTGCATTGGCTATTGTGTGTTTATTAAGATCAACAAAAATTTGATAAAATTGTAACTATTAAAGATTACACATAGAGTTAATTATAAGTGGCTATTGTGTGCTCAAAAAGACTTATTAAATGAGATGAAAATATTACCAAGAATTTGAGAATAATTTTCTCGTATGGTTACAAGAACTTTTGCCATAAATTCGTAATGTTACAACAAAGAATAGTTAATATCATTATACCATCAAAGGCATGAGCTAAATAAAGAAATTTTGCAATGGATAATAATATACCATCACGGAATTATACACGTTTCATTCTTTCTTATTCAAATATTAGTATTTCATGGATATTAACATAACATATGATTTTGCTTTGAATTGGAAGACTGTTGTACCCACCTACTTCGAATTAAAATGTTAACATTTTAAAGCTTTGTTAGAACGATAAAGTTTTTCTCTATAAAAACTATTCCGTATTAACTTTTAATAATTTAAATATAGTTCTTGTGTATTTTATTTTAATTATAATTTCTATACAATAAGATAAAATAGTGAAAACCAATATTACATTGGTTTTCACTATTTTACATTCGCTCAATCGACGCCGCTTATCTTTCCATGCTTACTAATTTGACAATAATTGGTCTTTATTAGCAATTAAGACTCACTTCGCGATTTTATCTCATTTTATCCTCAATCTTATGAATATTATTTTTCCTAGCACGCTTACGATAATCACGTCCACTTTTTCTTTCTGTTTTAAATTTGTGATAAATCAAAACTACAAACATCAGATTTTTAGTAAGTAATCAGTTCTGAAAAATATCTAATTATAATCTATATTAGACACTTATTAAATTAACGTTTGCTACAACGTCCCAGCGATCAGAAGATCAAATTATATCATTGATTTTCCCAAGTATAAATTTATCAAAGGAAAAATTTAACACATCACTTATTTTACAAAGTTATTTCGACGTTTGACAGTGAAGGTCGACACTTAATCAGGATCTCAATAAGCAATAATCACATTAAACTTTTAACCTTAAAACATAAGGCAACAAACCTTTTTAATTTAATAATTACTACCCAGGTAGCTTAAAATCATAATTTTGTGTGTAGTTTTATCCTTTTTATCTTATTTTTGTCAGTGGGGCTTTATATATTCAAAAATTTTTAACTATAAACTCAAAGTATGTACGTTACGTTAGTCCTCCTCTTTAAATTTAATACAGTAAATAGGTCCGCTACCAAACTTACAAATTACTTCCGATCGAGCTGATCAGCTGTCCTACAGGGTAACATTACGACAAATAGTTAGCTTTAAGAACTTAAAACTTGTATAAATATTTATAGAGTTATTATATAACCTGTGATAAAAAATACCATTAATGAAATATCAGTAATAGAAATAATAAAACATAAAGGTCCTAAATGTGACCCCCATGGAACATTAAAAGAAAATTTTTATGTAAAAATGAGATTGCTTTGTATGGGTATTACAGTAATTTTTCCTATATAAGGAAAATCTATCCATTAGAACAATCAATACTTCTGACAAAGTATGAAATATTATAATGGGAAATCAGTATCAATAGGGCCCACCTGTCCTTACATATTGAATGCAATATTTAAGTTTTACTATATTAAAATATTTCTATTCAAGTAAGCTTATCACAAGCACTTGGAATCGTCCAAATATTTTTCCTTACCACTCGTTCAAGACGTTTTTCGCTGACAACAAGAAGAAGCAAAAGAACTTAGCAGCTCTATATCAGAAGTAATGAAATTAAATAGTCGCTGCAGATTGCTAACAAAATAAAACCAACGGTATATCTTTCAATGAAGCTTGGAGAAACATTAACATTAATGCTTTGAATGTTTATCCCGGTTGTACGTGCTTAACAAATAACTGTGTACGCACAAGTAGCTCATCGCGTCTTCAACATTTGAGCCGCACGAAGTACCGACTGCAATCCCTGTTTTATGTATGTATACCGCTTCAAATTATTTCTTGGTAGCGTTTTCTGCATTAAATGAAGTGATATTTCATTAAGTCAATTGTACTTTTGAATCATGTGAATTTGGAATAAAATAAATTAAAATAAGTAATTTGTATCTTTTTACATAATAATAATGATTAATAAATAGACAAAGAAATGTCGACGACAAAACTTGTTAATGTTGAAAAGTCGACATTAGATATAGATGATGATTTTTTTTTTGATTCTTGCTGTAAAACGACTGCAAAGAATTAAGAAGTCATGTTCGAAGAAATTTTTAAACAAATTTTTACTTCCGCATTTATTGATAAATATGAGTGTTACGTGTAGAAACTTCTAATGTAATTGATATGGGTATAATTCGATATAAATATGACATGGGTACGGTAAAACGGTTCCCGAGCGTACTCTACGAAGAAATGGAGTGATCACCTTTTATTGACAAAAACATTTACGAGTTGATTTGACAGTTTCATTCTTCTTTTTGTAGGCGATACAAGTGTAGTACAATGCTCACTCCCATACTAATGGGCAACAATTTATAAGAAGTGCGAATCATGTTACGTTACGTTATTAGTCAATCATAGAAAAAAAAGGCTTAAAGCGTTTTAAATAAAAAAATCCCACGCAAGTAATAAAAAAAATCTATATTATATGTATTCTTTGAAATCGATTGTCTCAATTCAATATGTCATCTACAAACAATTATATATATATATATAGTATACGGCCAGTTGCACAAACGTCCATTAAAATATTCGTTTGTTTAAAGTGACATTACCCATACAATTTTGACATTCATTAGAGCTTAAAGACGTCATTAAACCTTAATGGACGTTTGTGCAACTGACCGCTAGGTAAAATTTATTTGCCTTTTAAAATTCTTCTGTTGTTCCATATAATACACAAACATGTAAACATTATTCCTTATAGAGTTTATCTCTATATTGACAAACGTTTGGATTAATCTTGGGTTAATTACTAGTAAAATGGTAAACACATTTATGTCAATGTTGACATAATTTTAACTTCAAATATATATCTATTTTTTTTAAATATTATGAAAACATACGTACTTACGTTACATAGGTATAGTAAATTAAGATTGTTTTTCTAATTACGACATGATGTTTTCACAAATCATTTCTTAATATTATCATGGTAAATCTTGTTTGTTTGCATACAGATTTACTTCCTGATATATTCACTTCATCATACATCTAATTACGTGACTCGCCTTCTTGATAATGCATCACGTAGTTGATTTTAACATAGCTCCTATTAGTAAGACAGATATTATATTACTATTATTGTAGATCTAAAAATAAATATAATATTCTAAAATAGATCTGTTTTTTTTTTAAATAAATAAAAAAATAAGTTCTATAACTAAACCCCGACTACAATTAAATCTCGCTCTAAAAAGTTTCAAACAAGAAATTTATTTTATATAGCTATAATATAATAGTGATGACCAAAGGACAGCGTTTGGTTGAAAAAAACAAACAACCAAATCAAACAACCACAACAGTTTGTTTTGTTATGATCAGTGGATCAGTAAAATGAATTTCTTGTTTCAAACTTTTTAGAGTGTAATTTAGTTGTAGTTGGGTTTTAGTTTTTGAACTTATTTCTTTATTCAGTTAATTTTCGGGTGTGTTAAAGCAAAATCGCATGCAAAAACTATCATTATCTATTTATTTGAGATGTGCTAATAAGCCCCTTTTATGTGATACCCAACACGGAATGATTATATAATATATATATATATATATATATATATATATTTTTAGTTTCTAACTTATGCTCTCTAAATGATTACCAATTTAATGTAACGTAACATAGACGTTTCTAATGATACCTCATTTGTTAAGTTACAATGAGTAGTTTCCAAGTTAGAAGGGAACAGATGAACATTCTGACATACATTCTGACCAAAATCATAACCCTCCTTTTCGCTTCGCCGTAGTTGGGTAAAAAGAGGAGATTCTACGCTCGATTGACATATGTATATAATTTTTGTTTGTTACCAATTTATCCGCGAATTCCAGCAGAATCATTTCACTGAACTCGAAACTCGCTATCAAAGGTTTAGCGATGATGCCAACGATTTATTAAACTATGTGAAGTTCAAATTCGCTTTCGGAATGAATGATGATTTTATTGATAAGAGAAAATAAACACTTTCTAAAAGATAATATTTAGATACGTTTAACGACTTTCATTTTTGGTTGCCTGGAAGATATTGCCTTTTAGCGATAAGGCCGCCAATTGTACTGTTTATTGTTATTAATTGTTATGTTGATTTTAGTTTCAAGTACAATAAAGTGTTCATTCATTCATTCATTCGACATCTTTAAAAGATAACGTCGTGATCGCCATCACATGTCAAATAGTTGTAGTTTGAAGTTTGTGAATATAATATTTTAAATGTCAAATCGAAAGCGATTATTAATTTGACAACAAGGCACCAGAACAGTAACTATAAAACAAAATATTTTTTTTTTACAAATTAGAAATTATCCAAATTACATAATATTTATTTACATTGTTAGCTACCGTTATTTATTATAGGTCCTTAAATGATTTGCTGAATATAATACACTTACGTGAATATCCAATATAGGAAAATATTTTATTACAATTCATATAACCAATGCGATACAGCCATATTATGGACTCGAGTTAAAAGACACCAACATATCTTTTATACCTAAAGCCCATATCATAAACTTTCATTGAATATATTCATGATTGGATTTGAAATACTCTTAGTGGCCTTAGCGTTTATTGAAACTTGAACGTTATAAAGCGAATTTCTTTATGTTTTCATGGTATTTTAAAGTCGCCATTCTAGTTTAGTGCCTATATTGAAATAACATACGAGTTTTTTTGCTAAAAGTGAAATCTACGAGTCACTGAAATGTAAATAGTTACTAATTAATTGACGTTTGCTATTTATCAGATTTATCAAAAAATAATTACGCACAGCCAACACCCATTTCTGTAGTTCCGCATCTAAAGAGAAAAAATAATGGTATCTTTATAGTTTCATTCGTATGTGTATACTGTCAAAATTAATTATAAAGAGCAAAAATTTAATATTTTGTTTGCATTGAATGGGCACCAAGAATGGATTGATTTAAAAATGATTTCGCGTACGTAAGCTACATCGTACTATAGTGAGATAGGCTTAGTTAGTTATTATATAAAAACAAAACCAAAAAATTATCGACCTTGTTTTGATTTTCATGCCTGCTATAAAGAAACTGTTCATATACTAGAATTGTAACGTGTGCTATATATTTTTTTTATTATTTTTTAAGTTAAAACTGTAGCCGGTATAAACGCGTTTTCACATATGGATGTTTTGGTCGCTCGGCTGTGACACGCGTGCTTGTCTCTCATAGCAATACCAGGAATGCTGTACTGTAAGCGTACTGCTTTGGCTCGCCTGGAGCGCCTATGGGTGGGAGGAGTTTGTACCGATCTATCAATGCATGCGGTGACCTCCTATAAGTAATGGGACACTTAGTATATAACCTAGTAAAGTAATAGTTAAACATAAAAAAACAAAGTAGAGATTTATTTCTGTTATAATTGTCTGTTAAGAAAATAATCGAAATCAACGCCATCTACCGATAGCGCTTTCAAGGTGCCAAGTTCGACCTTCAAAATTAACACTTCATTAACTAAGCTTTTAGACATAAGGTTAAAACAACCACGTCACATGTACTGTATGTTAATAATGTGCATAGTTTAAAAAGGGTCAGCAACTAGATGTAGTTATAGGACGGACCACTTAGGCCTATTCCACCTCGACAATAAAGGGCAGTAACGGTCACGTAATAATGTTAGAACTTTTAAAACAACACTTGAAACATAAAGCTCAAATATTACTAATTCTAATACGAGAATTGAAAGCGTGATTTTACAAAATTAGCTTTTCCGAACACAACTTTTTCTTTCCTTTCAATATTTTCTAACAACGTTAATGTTCTTCTGTGTTCGAACTTCACAAATTATATTATCAATTAATTCTTTAGAGGTTCTTTAGGGGAATTTCTCTACTTAAATAATACGTTGGTTAAAAAACTGATTTGGCTAAATAAGCATATTCAACTTTTCGAACGGGTAGGTTGATTTATGCTTTCATTTCAAAGAAACAATATGCAGACAAAGTGAATAATCTTTAAAAAGGAGAAAAACCATTTGAATTTTTTTCCATTACTTTGATTAGGATTGACATAGGTTACTTTTGACTGGTAACTATGCTGATCGCATACGAAACAAACGCTATTACAGTCGACAGCACATCCAGTAAGAACAAAAGGTTCTGACCATTTTAAGTCATAACCTTTTGTGGTTACGTTCAAAATTGATCACAGACTCTTTGTAAAACATACTTGGAAAATTTTCTTCAACTCATGAAGAATTCATTGTCCAAACTAGTCTATAAAACGGTAGAATGCCGTCCAAGTGATCGTGTGATTGATACATACGGATAAAATCTATACAAAATATGAAAGCATTAAGATAGCAAATAACCTACAGAAATGAAAAATTGTATTCCATTCGCAGTGTGACAGGTCGGGAATCCATCATGGCACACGCGTATTGTGAATAAGAATATTAAATTTCACATCAATCTATTTACTCTTTTTTTAAGTAATTCCTTTTATTCGATATCTTAATTGTTGCAGAATTTCTTTGTTTGCTTTTCCTTGCTAAACAATAAAGACTTATTATTCAATCAACAGCTTATCGGGTTATACAGTTATAAATACGAGTTCTCTGTATGAAATTAACTAGGAATAAAATAGCAGTTCTTGCTGAAATTCTTCTCAATGGTCCAACGGTTGACGAATGACGTCCATAAAAAATCCCGACAAAATAAAAAAATCTGATGGAGGCACCGATTAAAGAGTGTCAATTTGCCAAGAGACAAGAAATTCTTCAAATACTACTGGTCTGAAATTTTGTTTATTTTGAATACTGTGGACATGGACTCGTGATCAAAGAATGTATATTGACTGTACTGACTGTATATTTAAGGTTAAGATATTTAGAGCTAACTTATTCTTTGTCAGGCCTTGGGCTAAAAAAACTTTGTTTTGGAACTGTAGTCTTATTCTGTTAAAATACAGCATCATATAACGTCTGTCTGTCTATCTTCCGAACATTAGAGTAACAATCAAATAAAACCTACTTCAAAAGGTGATAAGGGTTTTCACTGCTGTATTCGACTTTGCGCTCAACGATATATTTGTAACAGAAACGCAAACTACAAAAATGTTGGGTCATCTAGAAACAGTGACTCGAATATGTTATGTTAGAAAGAGCTTTATCGAATAGCAAAATTTTTCGATTGATATAGAGCCTTGAACATTCCCTGAGCCAACACGTCAATAATTTTAATATTTATTTATTGTTTCAGAAACCGGACTTACCCGCTTGGCTGTCGTACGCACGAAGGAGATGAGGGGTGCAACAGTCATTGGATCTTCATTAAAGTCTAATCAATGTTCATGATCACACCCTATTGTATTGGACTCAGTGTTAACAATCTTTTGAATTATAATTACATTATTTGTCGTCGGTTAAGTAAGATTTGTTGTCATTAGTGGTTTGGTATCATCAACGTAAATATGTCTATCGGAATATCCGAAATAAGTGAGGGTAGAGTGATTCTAACGAATTTATTATTTTGATAGCATATCTCTTTAGTTTCAGTTGGATATTTCGAAAGATGTAAATCTTCACTATAGTTATAAATATAGGTTGAAAATAGGCTGGGTTTCAATCTGAATTTACTAATAACGACTTACTATTCTAGTACGTATGAATTTTTATGTAGTAATTCCTTGAATTTTGAGATGTAGAATCTGTATTGTTTCTAACAATTTCGGATATCCAGGGAATTAATAATGATCACGATAAATGTAATTTATGTTAAAATAAGGAGCGGTTAAATAATTCAGTTGCCCTTTTCCCAGTGAATTATTAATCCGAAACGCTTTCTAACTTATGAAAATAAAAATCATTTTCTTCCTTATCTACTTTATCAAAGAAATATTTGAATATTATTGTTTTTATAATAAACCAATATGATAGTATAATAAATTTCTGAGTAATCATTTGAACCCAATCCGCTGTACCTTGGATAAAAATAATTATTGTAATTAACTGTAATGTTATTAAATACAAGCAATTAAGAAAATGTAATAATAATTTGTTGTTTTATTCAATACGACCAAGAGATGAGTTTTTATTATTTATTTAAAAATCGAACTAATTGGTGAGCTTTTAATGATTTTCCTTATTTGGAAAGTAAAGTAGCTTTGAACATTACACATTTTCCTTTCGTTTTGTTTTGATTCGAATCCGTAATAGGTTGACTTAATTATTTTTGGTCAGTTGTGCATTGACAATGCTACACTAGAAATTATTCTTAATAAAAATACTCAAAAAATCAACCAGCTGCAGATACTCTGAGATAGGACTATAATATATAACTTAATTTTATATGCTATATTTTTATCCCTTTTTCTCTGTACCTTATCTGTATTAATTGTTAAAATATAATACCAGCTGTGCCCATTACTTCGTTCGCATGGAATATAACAAAAAAGTTAAACAACTACTCTAATATATAGATTAGAGAGATTTCAATTACTTCATAATTTAATAATTGATCTGGATAAAGATTCATATCATGATACCGGTTATAATTAAAATGACAAATTGAATAGCAAACAATGGTTATTGTGGTAATTAATACCCTACATACAAATTGCTACTTCTATTTTCGTCCCTTTCTTTGTTGTTTTTCGGGATAAAATTCGGGAAAAAACTCCAAAAGCTATATGCCTTTGGTGTTTTTTTTAATCGGTCTAGTAGTTTCGGAGCTTATTTAAAAAGCAACTACTTCTAACAGACAGAAATACAATAATGGTAAAAAATGATATTTTGTTATATGCATTTAGTAAAAAGCAGTTATTTTAATATTACAAAAAGATATTCAAATTTTATTTATTTGTATAGAATAGATTCTAAAAAAGTGGCCTTTACGTGTATACGTTTAATAAAATATAAACCGTTACATTTAACGTTATGTTAAATTCCGTCAAACTCGGTCAAACAATTTTAGAGATTAGCTAAAACAAACAGACAAAAATTGAAAAATATGTTATATACCTACATATGTGTTTTGTAAAAAGCGGTCAATTTTATATTACAAACAAACACGCCAGTTTAATAAATGGGTATTGATTTTTAATTATAGAAAAGCTCATATTATACGAATTGCGATTTCATTTGTTGGTATTAAACGAAATGTCAATTGTTTCAACTCCTACGGATAAGTCAACATCAAATTAACCTTTTTTTAATAGGTTGGGCAATTTTTTTTTGTCGTATACTTTTGTATAGACTTGTTACAATATTTCTTTTATCCCAATTCTGCGGTTCAGTCTTTCCCTATGGATGAATTCAAAATATAGGAAGAATATGCCATTACCCACCACCAGTGCCGCATTAAGCCAGTGCGGGGGCTGTTTGCTCGAGATGAATTAAGTGTATAATTGAAATAAAACAAAATTCTTACAAACAAAGTTCTCTTGATTTGTAATATTTCATTGTAAAAGTAATCGCCAATAACAACTAAATTCAACTTACCATGTGAGAGAGAATAACAAGCCTATTCTTGTTTTGAGGTTTAATAACAAAGTAATAGTACATTATGGTTAAAAAATTATGGGCATTCTTCTAATCAACCCAACCCAACCTTCCAACCCAATCATTCGTGACGACGATGACGAATAATCGGAATCTGTACCTTACTCTGTTAACGAAACAGAACTTTATAAACGAATCTTCCCCCCAGAAACGCAGGGCCCCCAAACGCGCGGGGCCCGTAGCATTACACGTTTCCTTATATATGTATAAATGATCTGAACAACCTCAGTTTTCAGGGTGGCAAGATAGTTACATTTGCTGATGATACAGTCCTACTTTTCACGGAGAAAACATGGAAAAAGTTTTCCATAATGCTCAAAATTGTTTTGATACCGTGTGTACTTGGCTCAGCTCAAACTTATTAACAGTAAATTGTATTAAAATTAAATATATGCCTTTCGCTATCCGTAAATCGTCTCTACCGGACGATAGATATAAAATTATACTTCACTCCTGTGGAAACTCTAGTTCCCAATATATATGCTTTTGTCATATACTGGAAAGAACTACAAGTATTAAATATCTTCGTATAGTATTTGATAACACATTAAAATTTCATTCACATATTAAAACACTAAGTGGAAGAGTCCGTAAACTAATTCACATCTTAAAAAGCTGAGACATATAACTGACAATCACTTAGTACGCTCTTTGTCAGTCACTGATTAGTTATGGAATTGAGGTATGGGGTGGTGCAGCGAAGACACATTATTGAGGTTAAACGTGCACTAAGATCGCTATTAAAGGTTATGCATCTTAAATCATATAGGTATTTATCCAACCGAAGATCTATATAAAATCAGCAGAGTACTTACTGTTCGACAACTGTTTGTGCTCCATATAGTTTTGAGGCAACATACCACCTCTAAAATACCTCAGCATAATAAATGACGACGTGACCATCTTGTGGCTAAATTAATGCAATGTAATACATCTTTTGCAAGAAGATTCTTTGTATTTCTGGGACCTTACTTATATAAGAAGATACACAAAGAAGCTGCTATTTATGAGCTCAATAAATGGTGTTGCTAAATAAAGGTTATGGAATATCTTCAAACTCTCACGTATACAAACACTGAACTCTTGCTATAAATAAAAACTTAACTAGTAACTAATTATGACACACACACACACACACACACACACACACACACACACACACACACTCACACACACTCACACACACACAAACATTTACTCGCTTAGTATAAATAGTTTCAAATTTGTTTTCTCATTACATAATAATCTAATGCATGCACTAAGTATATGTTCGGGGGCCTGGTGACCTGTAATACGGGTCTATAAACCTACACAGGCACCAGTCTCCCACAAGTGACCGAATTTCCTAAATCTATTTTTGTGTCATTTGTGGCGAGAAATAAATTATTTAATTATTATTATTAGAAAGAAAATTATTCCCACCGTATAGATAAAATAAACAGGTATTAAAAAACAAAAATGGTCAGATTCCAAGAAGAGTGGCTAAATCCTTCGTATTTTTAAACGTACTATAACACCCACAAAGTCCGTATTTTACATTGACAGGATCTAAGAGATGGCGACATCTTAAAACCGGCGTACGAACCACTCGGCTACGGGGACCATATCATTTTCATTTCTTTTTCTTTTTGTTCAAGTTAGTATACATCAAATTAATACATCCAATACATCTATACTAATCTTATAAAGAAGTAAAATTTGTAACTAAAATTATAGGAATATTTTTTTATAGTTTAAAGAATCTTTGAAAAAACCTGATCCTATGTTCCCATGATGAAAATTCCTTCACTTACGGAAAGCTACACATACGCGAGTGACATGAGTTATAGTTAGGGTAACTAAGGCGTGGAAAATAGCTTATTTTTATTATTTTTTATTGGAAAAAAGCAAAAGTAACCCAAGCCGTTAGAAAAGATTCTGAAATTATGCACCTCAGGCACAAAGTTCAAATTCATATTTTATATAGTTAAAGTTAAAGACGCATACACTAGGTTTCTGAATTGAGAATTTGAAGTTGAGCACGTCTCAAACCGTGCTTAAGCCCTTTTAAACAGGTGTTCATTACTGTTTTATATTTTTTTAATGATCAGTTGATAGCAGTTTGATAAAACTAGGACTTTTTGCCATATGAAACGTCAAAAACTTAAGTTATTAAGAATAATCAGTTGAGATTTTGTGCTTTTCTCAATTCAGAAACCGGCCGATAGCCGATTATGTTAACATTCAAGTAAACAGTCGATAAGGCGTGAAGCGCCTTTGACATGATTTTGATTCGTCTCTTGACAAATCAAGTGGAAACTCAAATACAAAACCTTTAAACAAAATCATTGTTGATATTTTTTTATATAAGTACGAGTATATAAGTCTGATTGAATGGACATACAAAGGATATTAAGTCGTCTAAAGAAGTAGCAATCTATCATTCCTTTTGTCTAATATTAATGAAAATACTTTACCGTACAGTGTAAGCTTCTTAGTTACAATGGACGATTGTGTTACCTTTTACCTCACGCGTTCACAAGTGGAAGATACTTTGAAGTCTCAATGTGGCTAAATCGTCATCATCAGCTCTTACAGCTCCACTGCCCCTGCGGTAGGGTTGAAAAAGGCTCAGGCCTTCGATATGGATGGCTAAGGAGGATGGGCCATTACCCTCGACGCTGGATCAATGCAAATTGAAAGGTGTTAACGATTACAAATGCAGCCATTGGTACCGACCAATGGTTTAATGTAAGATACGTAGTACAAAGCACGGAAGTAGCTCGAGATAATAATTTTTTACCTGCGGTACTTGTTTAATGCACCACCGAGGTAACATGTGAATGGATCGTGTTGATAATATAGAACTAAAATGAGATTTAAAATGCATTATATCTAAATCTAAAGAAATGTTACTAGGAGATTTTTTGACAAGTGTAAATTTGGCTTTAATTAAAAACCGCTGCTTTATGGCCACATAATATTTTTTACACCTTATGGCGCTCTCTGCATCCTGCAGTGGTCTGCAGAGCAACCGTCTAACTCTCTAGCAATAATTCTAGCTATAGGATACGACATCTTAGCGATGCTTTGTCGATATTTCGTATAGGTATATTTACTTGATTAACGACAAAGAGTAATAATGATGATTATGGATCTGACAGTAGCGTTACCAAATTAATAATTTATCCACCAAAAGACATGTAAAAGAAGTAAAATGAATCGAAATACCGCTACCAATACCGATAAACGATACATCGATAAGATAACGTATCCCATGGATTCTTTTTTCTTTTTCTTTTATTAATGGCTTATCTGCGCATTTCGCACAATTCTGCCAATGTCAAGTGAATAAATAAATTTCTACATGTAAAATGAAAATGAAATGAATGAAAGATAGCGAAGACAACCTATCCCATGGATAGAATCATGGTTAGAGAGTTGAGACCTGTCAACTCTACACCTATGGTGTGACCGCATTTCACTACTTTGACATCTACTTTATAAACGAACGAAACATAAAGAATGA